TGGATGGCTCAGGGCATGCACAGCTCTCCTGGCTTTGCAGAAGACTCTGACCTTTGGTCTGTATCCCATCTAAAGTAACTCTCATTTTATAGCCATAACTATCTCCTGTGACCGAAAATTCATCTGGAAAGCAATGAAATGTACATTAATTACATATTGAAGAGCAGTAAAAGTGTTACACTTTCCCACAGACTTGCAGTGCAAGTGGCTTCATTCATCATAAAATTTTAATGGGATTACAGGCTGAGGAATTGCATTTTGCCTCTGTGACTGAGTGCTGGCAGTGACTTCAGGCAGCTGCAGGTGCCCAACCTGGCTGACCTTAAAAGAGGGACAGCCCTGCAGCATCTGCTGGTCCTTTCTCCTGTCTCTGGGTGAGGCTTCCTGATGGATACCCAGCCTTGCAGCCAGGATGGGAGCATAAACACAGGGAGAAGAGCAAAGCAGGGTGTTGGCAGGAGCCACAGAGGTGCTGAGGTGGAGAGGCTGAGCACTGCTGGAGTCACTGAGCTGCACAAATACCTGCAAACGAGCTCACCAGTATCATCTGCAGAAACACCCACCCACTCACTTCTGCATTATTCGACCTCTGTCCCCACAATAATAATGGTAGAGCAACAGAAAGCTCTCTAATGTGCTTGCAGTGTAATAAAGTAACCCCACCAGGAATAAAATCTACAGCAATTACTGTGCAAGGTATTATGCTGATTTATCAAATTGCAGTTGAAAGTCAAGAAGAGTTGAGGATACAGTGATAAAACATCTGATCTCAGCCCTGACTCTAAATTACCCTTCTGGCCAGCACAGTATTTCATCCAGAGCAATTGTTATTCCTCTCATCTTCTTTAAAAATCATGGTTCAAACTGATAATTTCGCACTCCTCGTGTGTTGGAGTCAGTACTTTGCCTGTGCTGTGTGATTTGCTGCCAGGGTGATGGTATTTTGGACTCACAAATCTCCCACTACGGAGTGGAGCGCATGGAATGGAAGCAAACTGACTGTGGCTCATCCCCACAAGACACTTCTTTTGGGCCCTTCTGCCCTCAGAAAGATGGCAAAGGAGCCTCATGCCACGTTTGCTTGATGGGCAGAACCTCTCCATCCCCTGAGGATAGCGGTGGGCAGAGGCAGGGGGAGCACAGGTGGTCCTGCCAATGAGACTCACACCCCAACCACCTCGACCCCTTGCACTGCACAAGGAGGACCCCAACTGGAATGTGTACATTCCAGTGGCCAGGTCTGGGGTCTCCAACATGAGAATGTCATGGAACTGTTGGAGCACTCCAGAGGAGGCCACCAAGGTGCTCAGGGGACTGGAGCACCTCCCCTCTGGAGACAGGCTGGGAAAATTGGGGCTGTCCAGCCTGGAGAAGAGAAGGTTGTGTGGAAATCTCACAGCACTTTTCGGTATCTCAAGGGGCCTACAAGGAAACTGGAGAGGGACCCTTCCTGAGGAGCTACAGTGATAGGACAAAGGGGAATGGGTTCAGATTGAAAGAGGGTACATTTAGATTAGATATTAGGAAGAAATCCTTCCCTGTGAGGGTGGGGAGGTCCTGGCACAGGCTGCCCAGAGAAGCTGTGGCTGCCCCATCCCTGGAAGTGTCCAAGGCCAGGTTGAATGGGCTTGGAGCAACCTGGGCTAGTGGAAGGTGTCCCTGCCTGTGTCAGGAGGCTGGAATGAGGTGAACTTTAAGGTCCCTTTCAACCCAAAACATTCATGCCAAGGTGCAAATCTGCCCTTGGTGGGGACCAGGACCTCACTGGGGCTGGCACAAGGCTGCTGTTCCTTGCACATACTGCAGTTGTCAGGGACCTGGGATTTATCAAATGAAGTCCTTTCCTTTGATCCTTCTTGCGTAAAACCCTCAATATTGCTTGTCAGGGCTGTTTTCCCTTCCATTCCATCATCTTAATAACAATAACACAGATGTAACAAAGACAAAGCTTCCTCCCAGCGCTGCCGGGGTGTTCGTGGCCGTGGGCACAGCTCGGGGTGGTGCCTAAGGAGAAAGCACAAGTCAGGAGCAGACCCTTTCCACACCCTGGCTATGCAGGAGGCTGTGTCCTGGTGGGGTGGTGGGATGCTGGTGGTATCCCTGTTTCTCTGGGAGCCAGGCATGGCTGTCTGGAGTCACCCACCCCACCCTCCTGGGGCTGCGCTCCGAGGGTTAAACACCACCGGGATCCCGCTGATGAGGTTTGTTAAACTCCCCATTACATCCTGCAGCGCTGCTAATTATGTCTTCATAAACCAAAGTCAATTAGCCAGGTCTCTCCCTGCTCCTGCCTCTTAACATCCCTCTCCATCATCAGCCCGATCCCTGGGAATGCCTGCCTTGGTCCTGCCCCTTCCCCTGCTCTGTGAGTCTCTGGCCCCAAAGCTCTTCCAGAGACTTTCGAGGATCCAACTGCTGCTCTTTGACTAAAATTGGAAGCTGCACAGCTCATCCTGCTCCAGAACACGACCTCTGCCACTGGAACAGCTGGGGCAGGTGGAGAGGAGTTGGGGGGGAGCCATTATCCTTCTTCAAATATGGAAAAAATAACTGCAACAAGGAAAGCAATAAATTCTTCCCTATGTTCAAAAGTGAGGGATTTGCTTTGTAGGGAGAGAGATTTGGGTTATCTGCCTGGAATTTAAAGGTTTTTAAAGGGAGGTTAGGCACACAGGCAGGGTTTAGGAAGACCCTGCCTTGAGGCTTCTTGAGGCTCGGCTACTGAATTTTCTAATGTTAATTATAGACCAAAGGTTCAGAGTGAGGGGAGGCTCCCCAATCATGTCATTGCTGTCCAGCCCAGGGCTCTGGGTGCTGACCCTCAGGAGGCTGAACCTGTTGGTGGAGACTGGATGAATCTCTTCATTACTTGAAGGAGGCCTGTAAAAATGACAAAGAACAACTAATTACAATGCCAGATAGTGACAGGACAACGGGGACTGGCTTTAAACTCAAAAAGAAGAAATTTAGATTACATGTTAAGAAGAAATTCTTGGTTGTGAGGGTGGGGAGGCCCTGGCACAGGTTGCCCAGAGGAGCTGTGGCTGCCCCATCCCTGCAAGTGTCCAAGGCCAGGCTGGATGGGGCTTGGAGCAACATGGGCTAGTGGAAGGTGTCCCTGCCATGGCAGGGGGCTGGATGGTCTTTCAGGTCCCAAAACCAACCTAAACCATTCTGGGATTCTGTGATTCTGTGAACCAGCTGTGATGGTGGATGGGAGGCTCAGCTCCCAGTTGCTTCCCTGGAGCAATTCCAGGTCCATGACAATTAGCTAACAGCTGGAATGCCATTTAAGCACAGCTGCCATCATGCAAATTTAGAGATTAGCAGTGTTTAAAGTGGTCTGGAATGTCTCATGATTTCTTATTAATTCTTCAGGCTCTCTAAGAGCCAACTGCCCTTCATTGCTGAGATGGCTCCCACATCACCAAGGATGGAAGTGGGTCCTTGCTCCTTGCTGGCCACCAGCCCTTTGCAGAGAAGTATAGAGAGAGCAGAGCAGCCCTGCAGAAATGTGGGTGGATGGCCAGAAAGTTGTTAAAAATGTGGTTATTGCTCTGCACAGTTAATCCTAAACTGGCAAGGTCACCTTGTCAATGGCTCCCTGCACTGTGGCCCCACAAATAGAGGAGACTTTCTCTGTGGAGGCTTCCAAAGTGCTCCAAATCCACTGTCACAGCGACCCAAAGGTGACACAGCTGGGGCACAGGGCCATGGGGCTGATGGGCATCATGGATGGCACCTTCCTTCAGAAAGGACAAACCACAGGGACCTGGAGCAAAGCAACACCTCCAGTGATGGTTCCTCCCAGACCTTCTCCCAGGGCTAGAAACCTCTTCCCTGTGACTTCAGAGTCTCAAGGCCACTTACCTGAAACACACAAAATATTAACATTCCAGAAACTCTCCCTGGAGTAAGTCAGTCCTATCTCCTCACTGTGATAACTCAAGGAAGGTTTTCATCTTAATGTTCTATTTCCCCCCCACCTTATTTTAATAATTGCATATTTGGGAGAAATCTCCTGGCTCTGATATTGCAGAGTAATTATCTCCTCACCACAAGCTCACTAAGCTGGGCTGCCAGTGCTATTGCAGGAGCAGCTTGTGACCTACCTGGACATCTTCAAGCCTCTGTGGGGCCCTGAAGCTCCAGGGATTTGCCATGGTGCTGTTATCTCCTCCTCTCCTGGCATCCAGGGTGGTCTTCTGGGGGCTACTTGGTCCAAACCCACCATGCCCCAAACCTTCCCTCTATCTCAGAGGGTTTTCCTCCCCACCCCATGTAGAGTGGGCAGTTCTGGGTGGGATCTGGAGTGTCTGACATGCCAGCAGGGTGTGTAGGATATGTCAACCAGAGGGTGCAGCAGGACAACTCCCACAACATGTTCCTTGCCCTGCCCAGTGGGGCAGCAAGAGCTGGGGCTTGGTATTTTGATGGACTTCAATGGGCATTCCCTGGCAGGAAGGTTTTATAGCACATGTGAAACCATGAGGTGATAAAAACTACCATGTTTTGTTCAAATTCTTGGAGCAGTGTTGTAGGCGCTTGGAGCAACCTGGGATAGTGGAAGGTGTCCCTGACCACGGCAGGGAGTGGAAGTGGATGAGCTTTAAGGTCCCTTCCAACCCAAACCCTTCTGTGACACAATGTGATGAGACTCCTACAGCCAAACTGTGTCTACAAATGGGCTTAAAATGGTACATTAATTAAAGAGCGTTACTCCAGGCAGGTGGCCCGGGGGTGAAATTTCACATCATGCTGTTTTTCACACCACTTGGATTTTCCAACCCTGCTACAGAAGGTTGAAAATGCCAGTTCCATCCATACACCACAGGAATTTTCCATCCTTTTCGTGTCCTTCTCATCCAAGGAAACACTGGAATCGGGGCTCTCATGAGCATCTGCTGGTGGCAGAGGAGCTGAGGAGGACAGGGCAGGGATCTCGCTGGCCAGGACACTTCATGGTTGTCCCCCAGAATAAGGAGAGACTGCTTCAGCTCTACTTTTCATATGTTTTATTATAAAGAAAGGTAAGATAAGCATTGTGAACCGAATGTGCCAGGTGCTGCGAAAGCAGCGCCGTCAAACAAAATAAAAAATAAAAACAAAACAAAACAAAAGAACCCCAAAAATGCACCTTATGAGAAACTGTAATTATGCTCTCTAATTTTTCATAAATAGACAAAAATCATTGTCAGCAATTTTTAAATAGATGGACATATGGCCGAAAAAAAATAATAATGCCATACAACATGGATATAAATTGTCCATTTCTTGCTGTACAAATAATAGAAACAAGTTTGGCAGGCTTTTTTTGTTGTTTTTTTTTATACACATCTCCCTTCTATGTATAACTAAAAAATGTGCTACAATTAATATAAAATGCTTTTACTATAAAGTAAACTACTAATTTCTTTCACAAAAAAATCTTAAAGATGTCTTTAGCACAGCTCTAAAACACTTAGTAAACTACTTACAACTATCCAACAAATTATATTTTCGTGATCTTCTTCACATTTTTCCGCTCGTATTTTGCCTTCTGCTCTCTCCCCCCACCTACCTAGCAATAGTTTTTATTTATTTTTTTTGTAATTTTTTTTTTTTTTGCCAGACCATCCAAGGCCTTTGCATGTACAATATTCACACAAACTTCACATTTTCTTGCACAAAGTTTAGTGCTGTTAGCAAGTCAAAAGAGTGCATCCTCCTACTGAGCTGGCCTAACGCTGTAGGACACCAGACCTGGGCTTATGCTGCATCTAAAAGCAGTTCACTAGGAAAATAGTCTGTAGCTAAGCTGATGGCAAGCAGAAAAACGGTGTCCTCAGTTAATTTTTATTATTTTTTTGTTGGTTTTGCATTTATTTTAAATTTTTTTTTAATTATTTTTAGTTTTAGTTTTCTTTCTTTTTCGTTTTTTTTTTTGTTCTTTATGATTTACGAGGTTTTTTTTTTTTTTGGGCTTGCACGGAAAAGACTTTTAGAGTTCAAAAATAAGGAAAGGAAAGAAAACAAAAAAACAAAAACCCAACAAACTGCTCTTAGAGCCTGGGAACGAAGCCAGCGACGAGGTTGCAAAGTGGCAGCTCTCCCGCCCGTACGACTTGCTCGTGCCTCCCCGGGGTGGTCCGTGGGACAGACCCTCTCAAGTGTCCTTCGTCTGAGCCTCCTCCAAGAAAGGGGTGGTGAGCCTTAGGTGAGGTAGAGTGCCTTGTCCCTTGGCAGCATGCTGTAAGAGAAACGAGAGGCACGAGGTGAGACAGGGCAAAGGAGAGAGGTCTGTCTGCAGGGGCCGGGATCGGCAGCGGGAAAGCTGGCACGCGCCAGGGATTTATTCGTTATTATCGCTGCTCTGCAACGACAGCACAAAGTGGTTTGTACAGAGAGGGGGGCAAGGCAGAGGCATGTAAAAGTCACTGAATTACTGAGGTTGGGAAAGCCCTCTCAGATCATCAAGTCCCCAGCACTGCCAAGGCCACCACTAAACCACGTCCCCAAGTGCCACGTCTACACAACTTCTAAATCCCTCCAGGGATGGTGACTCCACCACTGCCCTGGGCAGCCCCTTCCAATGCTTGACCCTCCTTTCTGTGAAGAAATTTTCCCTGATATCCAATTTAAACCTCCCCTGGTGCAGCTGGAGGCTGTCTCCTCTTGTACCATCACTTGGGAGAAGAGAACAACATCCCCCTGGCTACACCTTCCTCTCAGGTAGTTGTAGAGAGCAAAAAGGTCCCCACTAAGAGTAAGAGTAAGAGCCTGGTGCAATTTTATTTATCCCTGAATTTCAACAATAAGGGCTACGACATAAATTCCTTCCTGTGGCTCAATCTTTCCTCCTGCTGGGGCTGCAGGGCAGGATGTCCCTGCAGATCACACCAGCAGGATACTGGAGTGCTGTGCCAGGGATCAGCCCCTGGGCCACCATCCCCTCCTTCATCACACGCTGCCCTTAGGCTGAGCCATGGAGCTTTAGAAAGTGCACACCTGAATTTGGATAAAAAATGTCATTCTGACACTACCTAAGGAGTAGAGGGTCCCAAAAATGTGACTGAGGGGCTTATATGCCTGAAGATGCTTGTGAGGAGGATTTACATCTGTTTCAGAGCTTAAGTGCACAGGAGCAGGAGACACCATCTGCTCGATGCCCTTCTCCCCCAGATATGTAAAATTGGAAAAATTAATAATCAAGAAGTGAAGGGAAATAAATCTTTTGAGAGAGCAGGATTAGCTGGTCTGAAGAAGACAGCAGGAGGAACAAGGAATCCAAGGAGGCTGTGGAGGAGGGCTCTGCACATCCCTGGAGCACCAGGTCATGAATTTATCACATTACTGACCCCATGGTTTTGATGTCAAGAGATCCAGGTGTGTTCTGGAGGGGGCAATCAGCTCAAAACACTGAGACAGCCCACATGGGGACACCAAGGTGTGCAGAGAGGCATCACTGCTCCCTTCCCTGCCTGGGGCATTTCAACCCTCTGGCCACTTCAATTTGCCATCAGCAGTGTCCTACAAGGGAGACCAGACTATCTTTTTCTCATGGAACAGCAGGGAAAGGAGTGACTGAAACCCCTCTCCCCTGGCTGATGTCCTGTGTGGGTTTTGCTGTGAAATCCAGGCATTTTAAGGGGGTTTATTGCCTACACATTCCTGAGGGAAATATCACTGGCTCCATAAGGACATCTAGGCCTTAAAAAGTGATGGAGAACATTACAAAGCCATGGGAGATTCTGGTGTGGGTGTGCTGGTGAGTGGAATAATAAGGAAGGGACAGACAGTGAGGCAATGCTGTTGTTGATAGAGCTGCCTTGTGACAGTGAAGAGCCCGCCCTTTGCTAATCTCCACATTTTATAATCTGCATTTAAAATGCAGAGTCTTCCCTACTGCACTCAGCAAAGATTTAATGCCACTGAGCAGCAGCAAGGTATTCCAGTACTAAAACTTCATTAATTTTACAAAACATGCTACAGAACATCTCCCAGTTCATTACAAAGTATTAACATAAATAATTGAATTCAAACTAAGTGCAGTTGTGATGGGTTATCCTTGCCTTTTTACAGTGTTTGCTCATTTAGCTTCTGGTTTGGAAAATTCCCCCATTTGGAGAGGATCACTTTGTCATTAGCAGGAATTAGGGAGGTTATAAATGTCTGGATGGAGTGGCTGTATATGTCCTTTTTGTGTCTGGACAAGGCATAATGTAGAGTGTCCTGTCTTTTAGTCCAAAGGAGAGTGGGAAGAGTGGAGAAAAGCTGAAGGATGATACACAAAAAGAACCTAATCTGTGCCTTGCAAGTGAGAAGAAGGATAAGAAAAGATGAATCCAGTTCAGTGTTTTTACCAAAAATACCTCAATGTGAGGAGAAAAAGGTAAATCACAGATCACAGAATGTCCTAGGATGGAAGGGACCCAGCCACTGAAGGTGTGAAAAGAGTTGTACTCAGAAAACAAGGCAGAAAAAATAAGTGAGGTGCTTCAAGGAAATAAGATTTAATTAAGGAATTCAGAAAGATTTGCATATGATTGTAAACCAAGCTGCACTTCCAACAGAGGTGAGCCAGTTCCCTTGGAGAAAGTCACTGCAAAACAGAGGAATTCAGTGCCTGGGAAAGAGCAAGTGCCAGAATCAGGCTGTCAGGTGAGGGAGACAGGGGACTACGAAAGGAGTTTGTGATATGATGGCAAAAAAGCAATAAAATTGTATGCTGCAGTTACTTGTGGGAAGTGACAGTCACACACCAAGCAGGAGCTGAGAAATGCTACCCATGTCTTTGCTCACAATCTAGGACAGTTTGGGCTTCAGCCCAGAAAGAGCCAGGAAAATTGGATGGAAGTCAGTAAGGAGAAAGTCATTAAGAATGGGGAAAGCAGGAGATAAGAAACATTTAAAACTCTCTCTCTCTAACATGGCTGAGTTATGAATTAAGGAGTGCCTGCTCACAGGATCCCAGAATCTGAGGGGCATGTGGGAAGAAGAGTCATTTAATGGCATTTTAACTAGCACAGATAGGCTGGGAAACAAAACTCCCTACAGCAGCTCCCTTATTAATGAAGAAGGATGGAGAGAAAGACAACCTTGTCAGTTTTCCAGAAGTTGTCTGGGTGACAAACACAAAAGAAAACGAGGATTGGGAGGTTTTTACCCCAGCTAACCCAGTGCCAACACATGCTGGAACCTACAGAAATATCGAGGTTAGACATGAAATAAAAATCGTAACCCAGAGAGCAGGACAGGGCTCTCTGTGTGCTGGGGAGGGTGGGACCATCCTCTCTTTCAGGAATCCAGGACTCTACAACTCAGTCACATCCCATCAGTGAATGATCCCTTTTCTTTCCAGCCAGCATTTTGCTCCTCAGAGTGCTGCTTTAATTGCAATTAGGCTGAAGGCACTTTCGAGGTTGAAATGGGCAATTAATGATCCAGACACCACCCCATTGTACCTAAAACAGCACTGACAGATCAAACCCAGCCAGGATCTGCCTTCATCGCTGCTGTGCCCAGGTCCTGCTGATGGCTGGACCCACCTAGCTCATGGCAAGGTGCCCCTGAGGAGCCCAAAGGAAACTTTGAATGTTGGGTGCAAACTGGTACAAAGTAGACCAGAGAAAGCATCACAGAAGGGAAGTCATCGAATCATAGAACGCTTTGGCTTGGAAGGGACCTCAAAGCTCATCTTGTTTTGCCTCCCTGCCACGGGCAGGGACACCTTCCACCAGACCAGGTTGCTCCAAGCCCTGTCCAACCTGTCCTTGGACACTTCCAGGGATGGGGCATCCTTAACAGCCAGTATGACATTTTTCAGTGCACTAAGCACTCTCTGCAGTACTGATCTATATCCATCTGAGTTCCTTGGTACAATCTACTCTAATAATTATCTGGAAGTCTCTGCATAATCTGTTTGGGTTTAGAATGATTTTTCTTTTCCAGGAAGCTGCGATAAACCCATGAAATTTGATATTTCTGCTGTGACAAAGGCATGAAATACATGAGCTTTGATCATGAATTGCATGGGCCCTCTGCTTACAATGCACCACTCCAGCCAGATGTCACAGAGCTTGTTTTAGCAACACAAAACTCAGTCCTTACTGCCATGGGAACATTACATCCATTTCTAGAGCACCCTGGGCTTTCTGCATGGGGCCCAGGCAGTGGGATTTGCAGAGGGAATCAAGTGTTTCCCTAAGAAATGATGTTTATTTCTAGGGGGGCTCATTTCTGTGGGAGCTGCTCAGCACCTCTGGAAATTGAGATCCACAACCCACCAAGCACCTTTAGCATTTTGCCCAACAACATTTAAAGTGACTTGATAATCAAGCCCTGAACATGTTCCTTCTTTCAGGTTGTCTGCAGAGGCTTCAGGAAGGACCACGCAAAGGTCACTGTCAGAGCCCACATCACTGAGCCCCCTCAGGCAGGCAGACAGCAGAGATATTCTAATGGATCAGCCAGTTATTTATCTTCCTGAAAGAAATAAATGTCTGTACAGTCTGTACAGCCCAGCAATTGTAAGTGCTCTGCTGGCACAGACAGGAGCTGTGCTCTGAAAAGCCTGGGAGCTGGCTATTATCTCCTCTGAAAGCACCATGTTCCAGTGCTTCTAGTGAATCAAACAATACTCCAAAGGTACCCAGCCTCCTTCTCAACCTGCTCCCCCTGCAAACCCCAGGCCTGCCTCACAGAGCACAATAAAACCTCCAAACTATTAAAGCTGAGCCAAGAGCAGAGGATTGGGCAGTGGTTGGAAATGGCTTCCACACCCTCCCTGTTCCCCAGCTTTAAGACCATTCTGAGGTTTTTATTTATTGAGGAGTTCATGCAGCACTGAAGGAACCACATTCATGCCAGAGCTTGTAGGGCATAAGGGAGAGGATCTGTGCAGATGTCTGTGGGCCTGCTGGTAGAGACAATTACGGGAGGTTGTGGCCTCAGGGATAAGAGCAATCGCTTTAGGAACAGACAGACATTGCTAAACACGGAATCACAGAATGGTTGGGGTTGGAAGGGACCTTTAAATCTCATCTCATTCCACCCCCTGCCATGAGCAGGGACACCTTCCACTAGCCCAGGTTGCTCCAAGCCCCATCCAACCTGGCCTTGGACACTTGCAGGGATGGGGCAGCCACAGCTTCTCTGGGCAACCTGTGCCAGGGCCTCCTCACCCTCCCAGGGAAGGATTTCTTCCCTATATCCAATCTAAATCTCTCCTTTTTTAGTTTAAAACTGTTGCCCCATGTCCTATCACTATCTAACCATGTAAAAAGTTGTTCTCCCTCTTTTCCATAAGCCCCCTCTAAATACTGGAAGGCTGCAATGAGGTCCCCCTGGCCTTATGGGCAGGGCCACCTTCAAACCTCCAGGGACCCTGTTTGGGAGACTGGGCTTCCCTGGTCTGCTCCAGAAGGAAATGTGCCCAACCCCTCTGTTAATAATTGGATGAAAATTAAAAAAAAAAAAAAAAAGAAATCTCTTCATGTCCAGTGAAGAATTTATCCATGGTTTTTAAGCTGCCTGCTTCCAGGTGAGCCTGGAGAGGCAAGGAAGCCTTGAACTTCCCTGACCGTAACTGGCCTACCCTCTTGCCGTACATTTTAGGGCAGGTTCCCAGCTGTTGTCCACTGTCACAGCTCAGATCACAGGAACTGCATTAGCAGTGGGCTATTTTGTCTACTGGCCTGCAGTGGTTGACCCCACACTCTCTGCTGGGGTAGTCGCTGTCCCACTCAGTGCTTCCCGCAGGGTTTGATGCACCAGGCGAACGGGGTCCAACACTGTTCTGAAACTCAGACGAGATATGGGAGAAGTCCTGCAGGGTGGGAAGGAGAGGGAGGGTTACAGGAGCATCCACAGTAGGAGAACAGCAGATCTAATAGCAGTGCATAAACACATTTACGTGCATTGTCCCTAAAATGTGCAGGGGGAGCCTCAGGGACAGAGGGAGCAGTCCAGGCCCAGGACCCCCCAAACCACCATGGTGGGACCTGTGAGTTCTTGCAAACAGATGTCAATGCAGCAACACATTTCACATCCCTCCTCCCTGCTCATGTTTGTCATGACCTCCCTCCTGGGTGGGAGGGAATGGCTGTGGAAGGTGGGAATGTCTGTCACCACTGGCAATTCAAGAAGGACACTGTGGTGTTGCTTTAGCTGAAAGTTGATCAGTTTTCCCCGTTTTTGGGGGTGGCTTTATTCACTTTAAAATTAGGCATGTATATAAACCAGAGTCATGGTAGGTACCTGACCAAGAACACGATTTTCTCCAAAATAGCCCAATTAGGGCAATGCGGGTTTTCTTTTTTTTAATTTAAATGTTTTATTCACAAATTTATGTGGAGTGAAGTTTCGCAGAATGCTGCTCTTAGCAGCAACAACTACACCAATTAAAGTGACTGTGAGGATCCCCTTTTATGCTCTTTTCTGGACAGAAGCTACCACCAAATCACAGAAGCCACTTCTGGTTGTGCAGAGCTAAAGCTCAACCCCTGTGCTGGAGGAGTCGCAGAATCACAGAATTATTAAGGTTGGAAAAGACCTCCAAGATCACTGAGACCATCCATTAACCCAGCACTGCCAAGGCCACCACTAAATCGTGTCCCCAGGTGCCGCATTTACACATTTTCTGAGCACTTCTAGGGACGGTGATTCCACCACTTCTCTGGGCAGCTCTTCCAGTGATCACCCTTTCAATGAAGAAATCTTCCCTAATATCCAACCTAAACCTCCCCTGGTGCAACCTGAGGCTGTTTCCACTTGTCCTACTGCTGGTTGCTTGGGAGCACAGCCCGACCGACCCTGACTCCCCCCTCCTGTCAGGGAGTTGCAGAAAGCAAGAAAGTCCCCCCTGAGCCTCCTTTTCTCCAGGCTGAGCATCCCCCCAGCTCCCTCAGCCCCTCCCTGTGTTTCACCCCCCTCCCAGCTCCATTCCCTTCCCTGGACATGCTCCATGACTCCCCTGGGCACAACATCAACACCAAGACCCCCAAAGCACCCCCAAACCTGCCGGACCCAGCACCCACCTGCTGCCCGGGAGGCGAGGCGTTCATGGGGGGCTGTACCTGTAGTGCCATGGGGGGGGACAGGAGGGGCTGCTGGGGGACCTGCTGCATGCTGAGGGGCTGGCTGAGGAGGGAGCTCTGCGGGTGGTGCAAGGACAGCTGCTGGTGGAGCGGGGGGCTGATCTGGAAGGAGGGCGGGGGGGAGGCACTGATGCTGGGCAGCATGGGCTTGGAGCTGAGGGGCCGGGACAGCCCGGGGTGGGGGTGGCCACGGTAGTTCTGCAGGTCCGACGGGGACAGGAAGGAGCCCAGGCCAGGGTAGGGTGAGGAAGCCTGCGGAGGCATCGGGTACATGGGCTGCTTGGGGGGGATCATTTTGGAAGGTGGGTTGCTCTGGGCACTTTTCGTCTCCCCCTGGTCGGCAGAGCTCTGTGGGGAAACAGAATGGAAGGGTGGTGAGGGAGGAAAAGAGGAAACATCGTTACATGTCCCGAGATGTCCGTCTGCCCAACCGAGCTGCCCACACCCCACTAACCTGCACATGAACTCCCACCCCTCCAGCAGCTGGGTGTCCACAGGATGAGTGCAGCATCCATATCTGGAAAACTAAAGTCCAGTGACTCAACCACACCTCTGGCAGAGCCTGGAGCACCCGAGGGAATTAAACAGTGAAGAGGCAAATGGCCCACCAGCAGCTCACTGCTTCAGTCCACAGAGGTGGGTGACCACATTTTGCTTCCAGTGGAGAACAAATGGGTCTATAAAACCTCTGCTTTCCTGAGCCTGTGCCCTCTTGCAGCTCTGGTGTGTCTATAATGCACTGGACAACAGTGTCCTCATTTCAGCAGGAAAAAGAGAAGAACAAGGGGAAATTTTCTGTGTTGGACAATGAGGTTTTTGTCCTGGGATGGGCTCTGTAATGATACTCCAGATCCTTTCTCACCCATCAGCTGGGATCACACTGTGCTGCTTTACTCAAAAACAAAGTTGCTCTTCTGCAGAGAATTGGTCATTGGAGAAATTGAAAAAAAACATGAAGCCACAGAGCACATGCCTTCTGTGCCTCCTGCCCCACACTGCTGCGAGGCATGGTCAAGGCAGGACCCTCACAGGTTTCCAGAAGGTCCAAGAAGAGCTTTTAAACTCCCCAAAGTCTTTCCCATTTCCTTTTTCTGTCCTGGTTGCTTTTCTGTTTACAAGTTGACAGCACAGGGACTTTGAGGCTTTCCAGCTCACCACCATCACACGGATCCTGCAGATGATGGTTGATTTGGGACATCACATTCTTTCCCATGGGGGCTGAATGTGATGATTAAGTGCTGAGGATGTGGTGTAGTACAAAGGAGAAGCTTTGAGAGAAACCAACCTGATACACTTACTCAAGCCAAGGGCAGCATTACCCCTGAGGCAGCAAACCTGCCAGCTCCACAGGAGCCACCCCAAATTCACCAGGCAGCAAAAATCTGCTCTAGGCTGAGTGTGCAGGACCTTGGGTGTGCAGGTCCTGAGCAGCCAGGACAGCCCAAGTGCCTGGAGCAGGGAGCAGCAGGATGCTGGTACCAGTGCTGGCCGGTGAGCCCATCCTCCCCCGGGCCAGTGCCCCGTGGCACCCACGGTGAACCTCGCCCTCCTGCCCCTGTTTGCTGCACTCACATCCCAAGAGCTGGGTGAAGAACAGCTGCTGGTGGTGGGGACAAGCAATAGGGACAACACCCCGTGCAGGGACACCCCTCCCCTGCTGATGAAACCAACCCAAAGTGGGGTTTCGTTGCAGGGCGCTAAAGCCTGGGGAAGGTGCCAATGCTGATGTTGGTTCTGATATCACAATTACATGGTATTTCCTATAAACTTGCTCCTTCCAGGAGGTTCCTGTGAGTTGCAACTCACAGCACTGCCCTGTCCCACAGCAGCAAGGTACCTTGGAGACGAGGCTGGCCCGGTACGCGGCCAGAGCTTTCAGGTACTCCTTCTTCGCAGCTTCTGTTTTCCTCTTGTATGCCTGAAAGGACCAGGGAATGGATAATAATTAACAAAGCAAAATAGGGTGATGCTGGGCTTGGCTGCACCCTGCTTGCTCAGTGGGATCCCCTCCACTGGGGTCATGTGTATGAAAAACTCTGCTGGAGAGGAGTCTGCCCCCCAAACCTCTTGGTGGGGATCTCGCTGGGGTTCTGGGATACATCACAGGTCAGAGTAGTCTGTGTGCCTAGACAGGAATTTATACATGTCTGCTGTAAGAGATACAGTCTGATTTTAAAAGGTGAAATCAATGAAACCACTTCCCAGGAGGAAGCAGGGTGAAGAACGATCCAGGTTCTTGGAAGAGCAAGACAAAGGCCCAAATCCTCAAATGACAGGACTATCTTTAAGGTCAACTCAACTCAAACCATTCTATGACCCTATGATGATGACTAGCTTGAAACCAGGTGAGACATCCAGAAATCCTACATTATCCATTTGTTTTCTTGGCTATCCCATTATTAAGCCTTTAGAGCTCAAAACTCCAGCTCTTCTCTGCAGTCTGGACAGTGGGGAACTGCTTTCCCATCATATAAAAGCTGAGATTTTTGGCTAATCTTAAGACTTGTTGAGGTGAGGCTTGTGGGAAACAGCACGTATCAGGAGAGTTTACTTCCCTAAGGAAAAAAAAAACAAAATAAAGCTTTGTAAGTGTGAATTATTGGTTATTCTTCCATCTCTCCCCGTAATGAGAGATGTGCTGGTGTACTGGTCCCCTTTCTGCCCAGATCTTGGGAGATGGAGGACCTCCAATAAAATAATGGTGGGATCCAGTCTGTCCTTGTGGGGTTACACAGATTAAACTGAGTGGCAAGAACATTCTAAAATGGAATAAAAACTTCAGGATAAAGGCAGAAACTCCCAAGAAAAATACCCACCAGCCCTCTTCCCCACTGGAAACTCAAAACCCTCCTCAAGCAGTGCACTGAAAGTTGATTTCAATTAGAACAGATTTGCATACATTTAATTTGGCTTTAAAACCAATGAGAGCTTTCAACAATTGAGAGGCTGAAGCTTCACAGGCACATCTCTGTCCAGGATGATTCAGACCTGATATCAGGGAAGATTTCTTCAGGGAAAGCATTGTCCAGCCCCAGCACAGGCTGCCCAGGGCAGTGGTGGAGTCACCATCCTTGAAAGTGTTTAAAAGCCACACGGATGTGACACCTGGGGACATGGTTTAGTGGTGGCCTTGGCAGTGCTGGGGAATGGTCGGTCTGGATGATCCCAAAGGTCTTTTTCCAACCAAAACAATCCTAAGGTTCTACGATTTAGCTCCTCGGCAGCACCCCAGACTCCCTCCCAACACTGACCTCGGAGGGAAAATAACCTCCAGCAGTTAAACTATCCAGTTACCTGAATTTAACATCAGTACAGACAAATTCTATTAAAAAAGGACTGGAAAGCCTTATTTTCATTGCTAAATCACAGAGACTCCTGTAATGAAACATTTTGACTCGACACACTGGAGGTCTCAGACGGTAATTTTCTGAAATGGAGCGTTTCCCTAAGTTTGTCTTTGGCTTTATGGTATTCAGGAAATATTATATTTGCTCCATTCAGAACAAAATTACATTTCAAAATGTCAGCCTGAAGAAGAGTTTGCCTGTGAAAAGCAACTATTTCTTCGAACTGTATCAGTTCCCTTAATAAAAGCTATTACCTCTCTCTGCAATCTTCACATCTTTTATTATAGAATCCCAGAATGACTTGAGTTGGAAGAGACCTTAAAGCTCATCCAGTTCCACTCCCCTGCCATGGGCAGGGACACCTTCCACCAGACCAGGTCTGTGCCTGTAGCAGCAGCACCAGTGCCACCACCACAGCATGAGGTGTATCCACCAGCTCTGCTGCTGGATGTTCTTAAATGTGGCACCCAGCTCTTAAATTTGGTACCCAGCACAGAAATGAAATATCAACAGTGGCCCCAGCTGGGTGCTGATGGATTGAAAGCATATTTAATTTTTTTTTTTAAGTCTGTAGTATCAAAATACAACAGCATCCTTTCCTTGCCTTGCCTTGCCCTGACTTTTTCTCTGAGATGATCAGAAATCAAAGTATTCACAGCTATGCAGAGCCAAATCCAATTATCAGGAAGACTTGCCTGGAGAAAAACCTGTAATTTCTGGACAGTGAGAGGGCAGGTAAATGAGACTTCCTAAACCCAAATGCAAAGAAATTAATAACCAGTAAATTCTTTGCCTATCTTCATCCCCACCACTTGCTTTATCTGCTAACCCCTTTTATTTTTTGGCCACTTTTTCAGCTGCCCTTGTCTTTTTTTAGGGTGTGAGGGGGCACTGGACTTCCCTTGTATTGGGATGTGCTGCCAGGTGGTGTCTGGTGCAGAAAGACTCGGAAAGGGCAGCCAAATGGCACATCCTCCTGAAGGGAACAGGGGACTGCTCCAAGCAGGAGCCTCCAAGTTTGCTGGGATAGCCCTGGCTCAAGCCTGGCCACGAGCAGGGTTACCAAGAAGGGTCACAGGGAGAGCCCAGGCTGTGCTTTTCTCCTGATAATCCCTTGAGCTCCCTCCAGCTCTGGAAGGTTCCCGGTGGATTATCTGATTTTTAATCATAAAATCACAGAATGGTTTGGGTTCGGAATGGAATAGTTTTGAGACCTCAAAGACCATCTAGTTTCACTTCCCTGCCATGGGCAGGGACACCTTCCACTAGCCCAGGTTGCTCCAAGCCCCGTCCAACCTGGCCTTGGACACTTCCAGGGCTGGGGCAGCCACAGCTTCTCTGGGCAACCTGTGCCAGGGCCTGCCCACCCTCACTGTAAAGAACCATCCCTAAAGGTCTCCTGATGAGAATTCTGCAGTCCTGCTCCCCCCACGTGGACTTTCTGCACCTACACAGTGCTCCACCAAGGACACTCAGCTGCCTGTCCCTGGGGAACTGCCACGATGACGTGGGAAGAGCAGATCCCAACAAAACTTCTCACGAATCCTCTGTGTAAAGGCTGCTCTAGTGCCTCATTTATAACCTTTAAAATTTTAATTTAAACATTGACAAAACCATGTTACTTTCTAATTAAATCCCATTTTCTCCCAGGGATTTTAATTTCAAAGTAATTTATCAGATTTAAGGATCCTCAAAACATTTTGCATGTTTTTCTTTCTAACCTGCCATGCCCACTGATTTATTTTCCCTATTCATTAGCAGGAGGATTCATTAGTCATTAAGTGAGTGGGTGGGTTGGGGAAGGGGGGGGTGGGGAGGAAGCAAAAATGGTTAGTGATTATGAAAACAAAAAATCAGAGCTGTAAGAAGCATATGTTGGGATCGTAATCCTGACACCTCTGTGTCTCAGCAAAGCAGCCAGTAATTGTACCATAATGAAATGTTCTTGTTTGATAACCAGTTAATTAGAGAAGACAATTATTCCAAACCTTGCTGACGCCCACGAACGGCTCCGTGTCACGCAGGCTCTGAGTGACAGCCAGAGCTGTTATCGGTAACCTCTGCCTCCCAGCCCTCCTGCTTCAGCAGGAATGCTGCTTCCCAAGCCTGGGGAAGGATGGAAAGAACTCAAAACTCCCCCCACCCCAAAACATCAAGGGATGCACTGATCCCAAGTGGAAAGGTCTCTGCTTCAATCCTAGGTGGAGTTTACTCCAAAAATAAAGGTAGGCCATCAGGAGGGAGGAGAAGATGGGAAGGGCAGGAGAGGTCTCCAGGAGGAAAGCTGGGAGGGAAGACCAAGAGTAGCCACATCTCCAAACACAGCACAGCAAAGGAGGCCCCAAGTGATCCTGTCCATCCAGGAAAAGAGGCAATAGGCTTAAATTGTAACAAGGGAAATGTTGGCTAAGCACTGGAAAGTAAGGATAATTAAGCATGGTAAGAGATTGCCTGGGGAGATGTGTAATCTCCACCACTGAGGGTTTAAGAGCAGATTAGGCACACATCCATCAGGAATGGCTTAAGTAGAGATGATCCTGACTTCAGGCAGCAGTATGGTCTGGTTGACCTCTTAAGTCCCTCCGTGCTCTCCTTTCTATGATTCTATGACTGGGGTTTTTTTTTCTCCCAAATGTATAAATTTGGGTTTTATTCTGCTTGTAAATCTGGAGGTTTTTTCTTGTCAGTATTACACACTTTCCTGCAAGATATGGCTCTGGATCAGCATAACTTATGGCTCATTCACAAGATGACTCGAAAGTCACGAGTGGGGTCAGTCACAGCCCCTGAAAAGGCCCTAGCTCTGGGAACTATTTGCATGGTTTCAGGAGAGTTTCCCTGTTATCCTGGTGGAGATACCATGCTGTGAAGCAGCCCTCTGGACAATGAATGGGTGGACCTGTAATCAAGCAGCAACCACCAGTGATTAAAGCATCCTGAAAGATTCCTGCTCTCCCCTGCCTCGACTTCACGGTGCCAGCAGGGTGTAAGTCATCCATCACTCCATGTGAGGGCATCAAGAGTGTTCCCAGGACAGCCCCTGGAAGACTCCAAAGGAAACAGAGGAGGAGGCTCACAGATCCAACCCCTAACCTCCAACGAAAAGCACACAACACTCATCTTTCCACGCTTCTGATCTTGCTCTCCGAGAAGAGAAGTCACACTCTTGGAGCTGCTGTTACGAGAAGATCTGACCCTTCACATCCTCCCTGTCATTATCCCGCTTTCCACCACAACCCTCTTGAAACCTGGTTTGGGCTTGGTGCTTTGATGCTTCTCCAACTGTCCTTGATGCTCAGAAGATGCTGAAAGCTCCTTTCAGGCCAGAGTGACTGCTTGGACCCTTCAGCAGCCCCTCACTGCCAGGGCTTTGGGGCTGCAGGAGGAAACTGCAACCCATGGTGGCTCCAGCACTGACTCCAGTGCTGGAATTGGCCAGTTTGCAGCATCTGCTGCATTCCATTCCCATGGGATCTCTCCCCTGTGATGGCTCTTCCATAAAAGAGCTTTACAGTTGGCCTGAGATGCCTCTGTCCCACTGCAGATACCTGCAGTGTCCTGTCACCAGGTGAGGTATCAGGTTCAGTGAGCAGATGGATCTGATTAAATAGGTGATCTATTATTTTCTGCAGAGTGAGCAATTTTTCTGCTGGGTAATTTAGCCTTGGAGTGTGACTTTACCCCTGGAGCTGTGTAGTTCTCTAGGCTGTGCATTTGTTTGGGAAAATCCCACATGCATTTGGCCACTGAGCTACCTGGCATTACTGAAATGGTCCTGGTGAGGCAGGGCTAATGCTGTCCCCAGTACTTTTGTGTCCCCAGTGAGTCCCCAGACTCATAAACTCAACTGGTAATGTTGGTTTTATCCAACTTGTGCTCATTTTGGATGGGAAATCCTGAGTTAGCCTGGGGTTCACTCAGCAGGTTGCTCTGGAGTTCCTTGATTCCTCTGCCCTGAGTTTCCAGGGTTTAAGGGAAACACCAACCCAATGCTTTGACTTTATGGCTGGATTTCCTGATCAGAAGAAGCAGGTTACAGATACATCTGCAAATGCCACTCTGGCAGCATATCCCATGCTCCAACATCACCAGTTTCCAACCCTCACAACGGGAAGCTCAGAAAGGGACTAAGAACATGGCAGGAAAGAGTGAATCCCACCAGTGACTCCTCAATAAACTCCAGAGAGTTTCCAGGCTTATCACTCCCAGGAAATCCCCCTGAGGGAGGACAGCCACCAGGGCTGGTGTCACCAGCTCTTGAGCAGAGATGGCTCTGCTGGTGGCCCCATGGAAGGAGATGAGGGGGCTGAGGGTGGCACGGACTGGGACCAGCCTGCCAGCATTCCACCTGTGCCAGGGAAAAATCCTTCCCAGGGAATTAGCAGAGTTTGCTCCAAAATAGTCCTCAAATTCCTGTAATTTCTGTCAAATCAGGCAGCCCTTTTAATCCTTGAGACCTGCTAATGAAAAAAACTCCCAGCACAGGAGGCAGAGGATTCTGGGAGCCTGGAGCTGGGACCTGGAGCTGCAGGCAGATTCCTAGGACAGGTACCCCATTTGATGCTAATGGCTGAATTAGCATTTCCCTCTCCAGCAGAGTCTAAGCTATCTCTGCAGGAACAGCTGCTAAACTATTTGCAAAGTTCAAAGAGGACATATTAATATTTTTTTTTTTCCCCGAGTCACATTCTTCAGATTCCCGTGTAAGCTTCTTAGAAAGGGCCACGCCAGCTGTTGAAGAATGAAGATTACAATGTCCTGCCAACGCAGAGCTGGAGATATTTCAAGGTATTGTTATTTATGACTGTTCCACACGCTGGAAGGGGTTAAAATGGGGAAGAAAACGGAGCTTTGCCGAACAGGTGTCCTTGAGCAGTACCCAAGGACACGGAGATTGCTAATCCTGTATTCCACAGCATGATCAAATCACCAGGCAACAGATATAAATAAAAAAAGGCAGGAAATAAGGAAATTTAGATACAAGTGTGTCAGAGGGAAAATGAAGATTCATTGTGAAGAGGCTGAGAAGAGAAGAAGGAACAAAATGACAAAGGCACAAATGATAAACCAGTAAGAACAAAAGGAAAGGGGGGGGGAAAAGCCTCTCTGTGAAATGCATGTCTGTGACAGCAGCAGCCAAATCAAAGATGCTCCTAGATTATATAGCTTCTTGCATAATATGCATTCTGGTTCCCTCTCTGTGTTTGTCTTTCAGCTGGTGCACAGGGAAAAAAAAACCCCATATCTGAAATGGGACGTGAGCAACCTTTATTTTGCTTGTTTCATCAGGAGGAGAAAGCAAATTTGCTTTGTGGGAGCAGCAGCACCTGCTCAATGGCAAATAAATAGCTGCAGCTTTGATATTACAGTGCATATAATCATTAGCAGCACAAATGGCAGAGGATTAACCCTCCGTGTGCTGGACAGGGCTACCTGGCATAGGGGTGGCATCTCACTGCTGGTGGCAGAAATGCTCCATGTGGTGTCCTTGGAGAGGGGCTGAGGTTCTGGAGGGGGCACAGAGCCATCCATCCCAGCCCAGGGCACTGGCTAGCGTGGCTGCAAGGCACCAGCACTGGGCTTTCCTCATCCCTTTGGCACTGGCATGGTGGCCACTCCACCTCTGTGCAACCCCTGTGATGGGATCATTGATGGACACAGTGCAGGGACAGCAGGACATGTGCCAGGGGCTGCTGACACAGGGTGGGGAATCACAAGTCCAAAACACCTTGGCTGCAGGTGGGTTTATGGACCAGTTTCCCTTGAAGCCCCTCCCTGGTTGCTCCCTGCCTGCTGCTCTCCCACAAGGCAGGAGCCAAAACACAGCCAGGACTGAGGAAACTCTGGGCCCACTGGAAAGTGAAGAATAAGGTTTGTAAAAGTCATCTGAAGCAGAAATTGCAGAGATGGAAACAACTGGCAGTAATGCATGGTGGGGCTGGGGTCTGTGTGCTGCCCCTCTGGGGATGGGATGCCCCAGACCCACCATGAGCATCTTGGGGGCTCCAGATCGGATCCTAGAGCATAAATCCACCCTCTTTTCTCATGTGAGGAAGAGGGGAAGTGTTCCTGAACTAAGGCCTTGGTAATAACTGAGGCAGAATGCCCAGATTCGCCTCTTGCTTGCCTGCTGTGCCATCCCTGTCCTGGCTTTTCCCCAGCCTGTCTCCTGCACTGCTTTCTGCAGTGAGGACGTGAAGCCACTGTCGTCACCAAAGGCAAGAGCGGTGTCCCACATGAAACACTTCCCTTTTCCTGATTTCCACTCCTTCCCAGAGCATGCTGCTCCTGCCTGGCAATGAGCTGAGCCACGATTTGGCACAGCCATGTGGGAATCTGGACTCCCAGGTCCCAGAAGGATTTTGGCCAGTGGTGCGTGGCTGTCTTGCTCCATCCCTGTCCCCTCTCCAGATGTGCCAGGAGAGCTCTCAGCATGGGCTGCTTGCCTTCCTTGGGAATGTGTGCACCTTGTCCTGCAGCCCCTGGCAGGAAACATCTACACACAGCCCAGGCACTTCTTTTCAAAAATTAGAGACATTTCGTTAACACTTTTTAAATTTTCTCTTCCTTTTTCCCTTTCCATTGCATTGCCCTGTGAATCTTAAAAAAAGAACTTGTCTGGGGATGCTGGTGGAGGAAAGCAAACAGGGACTAAGTAAACTCTCCTGCAGCCAGACACTTCAAGAGTGAACGTGCCACATCGCACAAATCAGCCACAAGGTCCCAGAGCCAAAGATAAATAGAGTCCCTCCAGCCAGAGTCCCGGGCAGGGAGGTAACTGCTGTGGGAGAGAAGTATCCAGCTGGAGACAAAGCCAGGAAGTTAATATTTAAGCATTCAGACAAGGAACAAATGACTTAATTAAATCAATTACAGAGGGAGAAATGGAGCCACTTAGAAAGCGTGTGTAAAGAGACGGCAAGGCTGCTGCAAGCTCATAAAAGAGAAGGAGGGAGAGTTAGCAGGGAAGATAAACGGGCTGGTTTAATCCCTGCTGTTAATTAAGAGCTGAGCATTTGCACTGCGCTGAGTCAGGGTCGCACCAGCGCTTCCATTCTCTGAGCAGCCCAAACTACGGAGATATTGGTAACCAGGAGGAGCAAGGCAGAGGCAGAACGAGATGTTGGGGAGGGATGAGAGCAGGAGAAAGAGGTGACAGAAAGCTTTTCCACCCTCCTGAACCTCCACACCCTCCACCAACAGCCCGAACTCAGCCCCTGCCCAGCAGCTGCCCAGGGCTGGGCTCACCCTGCTGCACCTTCCTCCCCTCTTCAGCATGAGGGATTCCTGCCCGCAGATCCACCAGGGATCCAGCTGAAGAGGAGAAAGGGAAGATCAGGAGAACATCAAAGCACCGCTTTGCACAGAATGGAGTCTCCAAATGGAGCAGCAGAAGGGCTTCCACCCCAGAAGATGCCTTGCTCGGATTCCCGACGTGGTGTGGGGTGGAAAGCAAGGCTATTTCCTAGCATGACTTCCAGCTTAATGGTTTTTTCCTCCCTGCTGTTCCTTCTCCAGACATAGGTGCTTCCAGTGCTGGCCCATGGACACCTAACAGGAGCTGGCAGCCAGGCTCTAGGAGAAGGGCTCCCTGAAAAAAGCCTGTTTGGATCCAGGACACACTCCACAGTGTCAGATCTCACTCTGACTGATAAAAACCCATCCTTGCTACAGGAAGTGTTCCCTGGGGTTCTCTCAAGAGGCAACAAGCAATTACAGGCTTTTGTAACCGACTCAGCAGCAACAAAAACAGTGAAAGCAGGACCCAGAATTTTCCGTGTGAAGCAGACGGAAAGTGGCTGACAGCTTTGGGGCAGCAAGGTTTCCTCTGTGAAGCCACTCCAGACATCTCCTTCTGCAGGTTTTAAAGTCTGAATGTTGGATTTGAAGGTAGCAATATAGGGAGTTAATAGTGTTTAGCCAGTTTACTGTCACTCCTTGTAAGTAAATAAGCAAATACAAACCCATCTCCCATTTAAGGCTGTAAAACCCCAGGTCAGGGAAAGGCCACTGATGGTTTTGCAGAGCATGAGCTTATCAAGAATAATTAGCTGTCATAAAAATTTGCTCTTCCCAATACAACGACAGCAATTTTGAACAGTGGGCACTTCAGCACCGCCTCTGTTCCTGACCACACCCTCCAGCCTGGCCATGCTCTGAGCGTGCCTCTGTACCATGGAAAAACACATTTCAACAGCTGAAAGAAGGAAAAAAAAAAAAAGTAAATAAATCGGTAACTCGCCTGTTTTTGTTCTTCTCCCAAACTGTCCCACATGGATGCCACAATTTTGGACACGTCTCCGAAGGTGGCGTTGGGGTTTTGCCCTTTGATGGCTGCCTGTGTGTCTCTGAAGAACAGGGCATAGGCTGACACGGGCTTCTGGGGCTCGTTGGGGTCCTTCTTTTTCTTCTTCTTTTGGCTTTTGGGCTTTTTGCCCAGGTCTGTCGATGGTCTTTTCTCTCCAGTAGCCTGCAAAGCCATGAGATGAACCACAGCAGTCAGCTGGGAGTGGTCAGACACAAGTCCCTGCTACAGCCAAGGAGATGAGAGGGGGAATGGAAAGGGGAGGGATCCCAGCATGGAGAGGGGGACAGCAGCCCTCGGGGTCTCTTTGGCCCCAGGAGCCTCTTGGATCATTACACAAACTGCTGGTGGGTGCCTGAGCCTGGCTTGGTGACTCCACTCAGACCAGCTCACAGCTTGGGTTCCTCCCTTTGTCCCTGCTCCAAAAGTGGGGCTTTCCAGACACGCACCCTTGGTCACTCTCCTTCTCCCTCCTCCTCCCTGGCACCACAAACTCACTCACTCCTTGACACTTTTCTGGGACCTCTCCAAATGCTTTGCTTCCCAGCCATATCCCTTTACCAGTCCATGAATTTTTCCGAAGTTGGCTTCCAAATGGTTTCTGATTTCCACCCCAATAATCCCCCTTTGCAAGCTGCTCCTGAGTTCCCTTATCCATGTGTGTGCCACTGGCTCAGTGTTCCCATTCCCAGGAGGACTGTGAGCACTGACCAAGCAGCACCAGCATCACACTGACCATCACACTGGGGCCATCCAAAATTTGCTTCACCCTGCTTACATGTTATGTTGGAGTTGATCCCTGTGGGTCCCTTCCAGCTCAGGATATTCCACAATTCTATGAATATAAGGGAGTGCAGAAGTCTCCATGTGAGGGTGTGAGAAGGAAAAAGCCCCTAGAAAGCACTTGGGACATCCATCAAAGCTCTTAACACATTAAGCGTGGTCAGTGAAAGCTCACACTACAGGAAACCACCATTATCTTTATTTTATAGTGAAGGAAAAACTAAATACACTGGAGTTCAAACACGACAGAGAATAAAACCACTGCCTGCTGCAGGCTGGATCTCTGCACCCAGGAGGGCAAATGGGGCACCAGCCCCTCCACCTGCAGACCCCAAGCTCAAGCACTGAGTGCTCAGCCAGTACCCAACCGTGTCAGTCCCTGCTCCCCCAGCTGCACAGGTTGCTGTATCACTCAGAAAGACACACAGGTCTAAATACCAAGATGCTGTCAACACACTTTCCCCCGCTGAGCTGGGAGTAAACAGCCTCTTCTCCTGATGGATTTGTTGATTTAACTGTGTACTTGGCAGTGCCAGGATTTAAGAGGCTTCCTTTCAGCTGGCACAGGGCGGGCATGGGGAGGAAAGGGCAGCAGTGCTCCTGTTCCCCGCTCAGCAGCTCTTGACTGGTCATTAATTTCAGTATCAGCGCAGTGACATTTGTCAAACAGACAGTGACCATTAGTGAATGAGCAGTGAGCTCAAAAAAATTGCATTTAATTTAAAATTGCCCAATTGGGCTTGAATGGGAGGCCTGGAGGTGAAAGGCCAGCTTATTAGGAGGGAAAAAAAATGCATGACAAGGCTTCAGCCCATTAGGAAGTGAGATGGTATTTTAAATAACTGTGATCCCATTTGATTCACTGAAATGCTACAGGGGAACCTGCCCCCTCACAGCCACCAAGCTGGAGGACCCAAGGAGCTGGAACAGCACCAACACAACCCCAGGCAGGTTTACAGCCAGTCCTGCTCAGGCAGCACCAAAGAGCACGTGGGATTTATGGAAAACAGATGCTGTGAGACTGCCAGGAGCCATCAGTGTCCAGGAGGGAGCACAGCAGATCAGGACTCTGCCTGGTTTTCACGGGGTTTTCCAGCTGTGATGCAGCTGGGATGAGACAACAGCCTGGCCCTGGACCTTAAAAGATGCTTGAACAACCTAAGCCATGTTCATGGCTAAAGCCAAACCCCAGTGAGCCAGAGCCTCGCTGTCCCAGAGCATCCCAAGGGTCATCCCCAAGGGTCATCTCCCATGGTCAAAGGGACCATGAAGGCTTGGGAAGCAGGATGAAGAGTATGGACTCGCCCTGGAGAGGTATCAGAAGATCTGTTGGACACCAGATGTGGACAGGTGTGGGGCAATTCACTGGTGACAGACATGATCCCATAACCTTGGTGCCTTCTTAGATGTTGAACCCATGAAGAGCTGGAACCCCATGGACACTGTGATTTTAATAACTAGGGAGAGTGACCACTAACCCAGTTGGAATTTGAGTTGTAACTACCTCTCCTTCCCATACATGTGTACCCCAAAGCAGTGAAGCAGGTAAATGCACCTGGGAAAAAAACAGGGCTGGGAGACCTCCTAAAATCATAAGCTCCCTGGCTCAGAGGACCTGCTGGACCTGAAGTGCCTGCTGGCATCAGACCCATTTCTTTAATGTGTGACCTTCTTCCTCACAAGATTAATTTCTGCTTGTTAGACGTTGCTTTGATGACCTGTTGCAGAAAAGCCCTTAATGGCCACAGGAAAAATGACTGATGGGTGAATGCAGCAGCTGTGCAGACACAAAGCAAACAGAAACCTGCAGGTCACAACACAGCCCTGCTGCTTTCCTGACATGTAGGGTCTCCTCCTCCATCAAACACACCACTCCTGTCCCACCTATCTTGATGGGGAGTTTACAGGGCAGAAAAAATGATGGGGTTTGCCTTAAGAATTAGGAAAAATTCTGATCTCTGCAAATTTGGACATCTCCAAATTCTTCCTACTCCCACAGGCACCACTGGCCCAAGAGAACAGAAGATGCAATCCCAAAGCTCCAGGAAACCTTGCTGGCTGGGAGGAAAAGCTGGGTGATGCTGATGGAGGCAGAGAGAGAACCTGGTGTGTCACTAAGCTGAAACTAATTTTCTGCTGACATGAAATATTTCAGCTCCCAGGTCATTGCTTGGAGCTGTGTGACACAGGCTTTGGGAGTTGGCAGACTGTGGGGTCCAGCAGCATAACCCACCCTATAGTGCCCCCCAAACATGGAATCACAGTTTGAAAAACTCCATCTATTAAGCATGTGTATCCCTTCTTTTTCCAGCTGTATTCCACTGAAGCTGCTTTTGCATCCAGGTTTGCACTCTGCTTTGAAATGCCCTCAGCCTGAAGTGAAATCTGGCAATGGGTGAAGAACCACAGGACTGATGGGAATCCATTCTCCTGGATTTCCACAGAAAGGGAAAGGTTTTTGCTCGGTCCTAGCATTTTCCTCGTTTTCCAGTGTCTGCACTGTTGGCTGCCCTGGTTATACATTCAAATCCTGTCACAACAGTCTGTTTTGGTGGGACAAGGTTACAACCCCAGTGCCTTGGGTCAGCACCTTCCAGCAGAGGGTTTTCCATGACAGGCTTTAATCAAAGGCACAGAGACACACCAGGTATTGAGGCAGCAACTCAGCAATCGCTGGAGTTTGCCCTCAGTAAACAACAGCTGCAGACTCCTGGAGCACAGCACGTGTTGTTTGCTCTGCTGGTGCATTTTGAGAGAGATGGGCAATGACCAAGATGTGCCCCAAACCCTAGGAATTCCTTGGGTTTGTTCATGCCATGCTCAGCAGCAGTTGTGTTGGCTATAGAGATCACTGAGACACTGCTGACTACTTAAAACACCACCTGGGTGAACTAAAAGACTCTTCCTCTTTTAATTTCTGGGGTTTTTTTCCTTAGCAAGCCACGTCCGGTGAGCTCAGTTAAATCCCACCATGGGATATCTTCCTTCCCTGTTTTAGTCTCCTCTACCCACCACTAGAAATCTAGTTTTTCCTCAAACATTTGCTGACCCTCAGCCCTGAACCTGCTTTGCTCATCAAAATCCTCATAGGGAGAAACTCTGCAGCTCGATGGTCCTGGTAAAATGTGGAGGCAGAAGCCCAGCTCTCATCTCCAAACTTTCTGGATGAGTGCTGGGCCTCACCCTAGGCTGGGAACAGCCACCTCACCCTTGGGGAAGTCTCCCACTCTGTATATTCAAAATAAAAGTCTATTTAGCACAATTCATCCCTCGCTGAAGAACATCCCCCCCCCTTCATTAAAACAGAAACGTACCTTGTAATGTGACTCTGTCTCCTCTTCCTGAGTAGAACTGGAGGGAGATGGTGTAGCAGATTTGCTTCCTGGGGGTGAGGGGGAGCCGTGGGCGACACCACTCCTCATCCCCATCTGAGAGATGAGCTGGGACTGGCTGAGAGCGCTCATGGGGCCGGCCAGCATCCCAGGGCGGTTGAGCAGGGGCACTTGGCGGTTGGAATCGTAGGACGCGGCGTCCGAGTGGACCATCTCCTGGATCTGAGTTAGGAGAAGATCATCTTGTCATTACCAAATGTACTTATGGATTTATTACGCTGTCAGATCACTTCAAAATGAGCTCTGGTTAATTTATTGTCTAAATCGTTCTCCGTGGCTGGGAGAATCTTCCTCAATCTCCCTACCAAAAAGATCCAAGAGCAAGAGGTGAGCACTTGTGCCCCCAGGGCTCTGCTCCTGCCATCCCCCTGCCCATGAGCATTACAGAGAGATCCTAAATCACCTCTGTACATAGGTCTGTGTGCCCAGAAGGTGTCCCTGCCTGCCTCAGGGACCACTGGTGCCTGGCACCTTCCAGGGATATAAAACCAAAATGTTCGTAAATGAGCAATTTTTGGCCACATCACCAGGAGAAGGGACAGCATTACAAGTTACTGGGCATTCCTGGGGCCAAGCTTTGCTGCTGCAGTGTAAAACCACTGCTGAGGACAGGCACATGTTGTGCCAGGGTATTTGGGGACAAGCCCTGGTACATCAGGGATGCAGCATCAGAGGCTGTGTATCCCAAACAAGGTCTTTCTGAGCAATACTTGGTGCTGACATTTAGTAACTGCAGAGGTGAAAAAATATCTGCTCATCTGAGTATCTGAAGGAACCACAAACAACCCCCCTGCACCCTCTGCAGGGCTGCTGGGTCCCTTGTGCTACTTGGGTTAAACCTAGAAATAAAAAAAACACAAAAGCCATCATTGGAAGCCCCAGGTCCCTGCTCCCACCACATCAATCTTCCAAAAACTGTGACACCACCCTCAAACCAGAGGTTTGTATATCCTCAAGCTCCAGAAGCCCCAAGCATCACAACACAGAACCACAGAACCATGGTTTGGGCTGGAAGGAAAGTTAAAGATCATCCCATTCCTTGTGGATGTGCCTGCCTTGGGCAGGGACGCCTTCCACTAAACCAGGTTGCTTAAAACCCTGTCCAACCTGGCCTTGGACACTTCCAGGGTTGGGGCAGCCACAGCTTCTCTGGTTAACCTCTGCCAGGGCCTCCCCACCCTCACAGGGAGGAATTTTTTCCCAATATCCCATCTAACCCTTTTTCCCAATATCCCACCTAACCCTGCCCTCTTTCAGGTTAAAGCTGTTCCCCTTTGACCTGTCACTCCAGGCCCTTGTCCAGCTCTCTGGGAGCACTCAGGCACTGGAAGGGGGTCTAAGCTCTCCCTGGACTGGACCCCAACGTGCAAAGGCAAGATTTGCTGGTGGTCACCACCTCCATCTCGAGATGACTCTTCCATTTTTAAATACTACAATCTGTTCCAATCCCACTCAAAATGAATGTAGAAAATAAAGAAAAAAAAAATAGTCCAGACAAGAGAAAAAAAACCACATTATGGGCTGCTTGTTGAGATTTCCCAGTGAAGGAAGGAGCCAGAAGCGATGTATGTGTGTGCACGTGTGGAGGCAAGAGATGAGGGGAAGAGGCCACGTGACGGAGCTGTGCCCAAAAATGTGGAGTTTCCTAACACCCATTAATCTGCTCTCATAATGGGAGAGAGGGGGACATCTGCTGGGACTGGAAGGTGACTAATGACACACGGCTGCAGGGACACACGGACACGGCACAAGCGCTGCCTCCTGAGGCTGCTGAGCCCACTGCTCTTGAAAGATTTGCAGGAAACATGAAACATATATATATGTGTGTCTAATGAGAAATGCTGAATGCTGCATTAGACATAATAAAAGTGTCTTGTGAAGTGTGTATTCCCCGTGCCGTGGCACAAACCAAGGTTCAAGTGGTTGGGTCAGGAGGGAGCAGCAACAATCACAGAATCCTAGATTGGGTTGGGTGGGAAGGGATCTTAAAGGTCATCTCATTTCAAGCCCCTGCCATGGGCAGGGACACCTTCCACTAGCCCAGGTTGCTCCAAGCCCTGTCCAACCTGGCCTTGGACACTTCCAGGGATGGGGCAGCCACAGCTTCTCTGGGCAGCCTGTGCCAGGGCCTGCCCACCCTCACAGGGAAGAACTTAAATCCCATCTAACCCTGCCCTTTTTCAGTTTAGAGCCATTCTCCTTGTCCTGTCACTTCAGGCCCTTGTCCCAAGTCCCTCTCCAGCTCTCCTGGAGCCCCTTTAGGCCCTGCAAGGGGCTCTCAGGTCTCCCTGGAGGCTTCTCTTCTCCAGGGGAACCCCCAGCTCTCCCAGCCTGGCTCCAGAGCAGAGGGGCTCCAGCCCTGGGAGCATCTCTGTGGCCTCCTCTGGACTCCTTCCAGCATGTCCACCCCCTGTCCACCAAGAAGCAAACGTGAGATGGGGACAAACCCTGCTGTTTGTTGCTCCAAGACCCCATTTCCAGTTTGTAGTATTTTCCATGAAAACCCAATTTTCCCCCCCAAGATCCATCCCTGCCTGGTCATTCCCAGCATCAGAACTCAGCTCACACAGCTCACACAGGCAGAGCCCAGCTCCCACACAGCCTCATCCAACCATGGAGTGGGAGGGAGGCAATCCCTGCCTGAACTGTTTTCCAGGCTTTTTCTCTTTCATATTAATCTGATTAGTGTTAACAGGAGTTTAAAGACCCGAGCTTTATTTATTAACAATCTTCATTCCTGATAAGCCTGCTGAGGTGTGATCTCTCATTACCAGGGGAGGTTTGCCAACTCCATTAGCAGCACACACAGAAGGAAACCCAGGGAAGACCAGTGAGGGCTCAACAGGCTTCAGAGGAAACAAATCCGAGTGCAAAACCTGATTTACCGCTGCAGGTCAGGAATCAAGAGCTTTACACAACACCCCACAGCATGTCCTGCCCTCTTTTGGATTCTCCATCAGCAGAGGAGTGGTATCAGGGGCACAGGTTTTCCTAGATCTGCCCTTTTTCTGTCTTAATTACGAAGTGAAGGGATTTAACTCAGAGGAATTAAATATTGTCTTGCATTTCAACAGCAGCAGGAGCCTGACTGAGGCTGACTTAGAGGCTACCCTGAATTGCTCCCCATGGCTTTGGTGGTGTCCAGGAGGCAGCAGGGCTGGCTTTGCCCTGGCAAGATTTATGTGCCCTTGAAACCTTATTATGTGCCTTATTGCAGAGCTCTGGCCTCTCCTGGCCATGGTGTGGGAAATCCTGGTCACAAAGACATCGAGGATGATGCAGCCACGGGGATGGACACCAGGCTTGGGCAGCACAGGAGGCACCAGAGAGGCAATTTCTGCACTTGCAATTGAATTTGCAAAAAGTCATGGGAATGGCCAAGGTGGGACAGGGGTGTGAAAGATGGGGAGACAGCTCAGCACCCATCTGCTGCACGAGCAGCATGCTGCTTCCCAAATTCCAGGGGAAAAGGTACGTTTGTCTTGGGTTTTGTCACTTTAATCCAGACCTTTCGTGCTGGAGAGGATCTGCCAGCTGCTAAGGAAAAGAATAATTTATTGTCCTTATTTTAAATTTAAATGAAGGAAAAGTTTAGAAGACGAGTGTTGTAGAAATGGGGAAGGCTATGAAACGTGGCTTTAAAAATTTTTTTTAAATTTAAAACAGCTCCCTCACGTTTCAGCCACGGCAGTCTCCTGGGGAAACACTGTATTAATTTTTTTTTGGAAACCTTTATTATGTGGCCAATAGACCACAACGGCTCCGTTTATCCATTAAATATGTAATCATACACTTTTTCTTTACAGTGCATGTTATTTATGCATCAGAGCAGAACAAGTCCAGGAGTGCAATTATGGATATGGGCCACGTGCTGCAAATGCCTGTGAAAATTAGGAGGAAAAAACCAGAAACCTGAGCCCTGGCTCAGAGATCTCAGGCAGAAGCCTCCTGCTGACACAACCCCACCACAGCCCCCTCTTAGAAAGTGTGGACACTGCATTTTTCCTGGGACATCCCCTCTCCAAGGAGACCTTGGCCCAGATGCCTCCCCCCAAGCAGCTGCCTATTTCTTTACATCATAAATGGGGAGCTATAACAAAGATGGGGACAGACTTTTAACCAGGGCCTGTGGTGAGAGGACAAGGGGGGATGGTTTAAACTGAGAGAAGGTTAATTTAGGTTATATATAAAGGAGAAGTTTTTTTAAAGTGAAGGTTGTAAAACACCAGAGAAGCTGTGGCTGCCCCATCCCTGGAGGTGTCCAAGGCCAGGCTGGATGGGGCTTGGAGCAACCTGGTCTGCTGGGAGGTGCTTGGGCCCATGGCAGGGGAATGTGGGATGAGATGAGTTTTAATAGTCCTGTCCAACCCAAATCATCCTACAATTCTAGGAAAAACCCCCGATTTTAGTTGAATGCTGCTGGTTCTGACACCCTCTCTCCCTCTCCCACGTCTCCAGCTCTTCTCCCCCAGTCCAGGAGGTTCTGCAGAAGGACTCTTCTCTTCAGGACTGGAGAGGGCAAGCGATGGAAAAGGCATCTGTGTTTTTCAGATGTAAAATGTTTGGGGTGAAAATGAAGGTTGAGTGGTTTGTGTGAAGCTCTGGAGTTTCTTCCATGGGCTTGAGGGTGACAATGGCCTTGGCTCAAGGGGGAAGGGTTAGTCTTTGATTCCTGCTGCGGGACCCTGAGACACCGAGCTATTTCAGAGGACACCCAAAGCAGGTGATGTCCCTTCAGAAAAGACCCAAGGGAAGACAGACCTGGGAGCAGGATTCTGAGATGCTCCTCTGCAGCAAATGGCCTAATTAGGCAAGTAAATGATGAATGAAACTGGGATGATCGCAAATCAAAGTGAAAGAAGGTAAAAAAATGCAAAAAAAATCCCGGTCCTGTGGGATGCAACCCCAGCACTGGGCTCACTGAGGCTGCCTCATATCTTTCCCCTCCCCAAAGCACTCAGTATCCCCACAGAGCCCAAGAGAAGCACATGTGTAATTAAATGACTGCCCTCCAGAGGATATCAGCTCCACCACCAGCAGGAGAGGCTGTGACAGCCAGGTCGGGTCCCGTCTCCATCCCAGGCAATTCAGCACAGCAAACTCACCACGAGGTGCTGCAAAAGGTTTGGGATGGCTTTGCCAGCCTCTGCTTGAAAAGATGT